CAATTATATTTTAATCGGTTTTTTAAAATTTTTAATCGGTGGTACAAGGTACATGAGCCGATTGAACTGGTTCAGTTCTTTTAAGGTACATGAGTCGACCCGACTCGATCCCAAAAGTGTGGTTGATTTTTTTTATTAGCCTCACTTAATTTAGGAACCACATGAATTTTTGTTCTAGATTCGCCACTGGTCACCATCATCCTTCCTTCCAAATCAAATATGTATATAAAATCATTGATTGATAGCTTAAATACTATATTTACAATTTAATATACCAATTAAATTACTTATTCATAGTTAATGCAAAATAATTATAAAAACTAATACATTCTTACATATTTATACAACACAAAAAAATAAATTTGTTCACATGAAAATTAATACAAACATTCATATTTTAACATAAATTTATTAAAAATTCACATCTTATTACAGTTAATTCACAGTTCAGTACACAAAATTCACAGCTTAGTATATAAACTTCACAGTTTAATGCAAAAAATTATTCATTCACAACCACATTCTTAACTTAAAACTTACACATATACTTTCATATTTATATGCTAGTGCTTCTTTCAAAGTTTATTTTAGCAAATATTCACAATATAAGTTTAACATACTTTATTCAAAATTATATAAAATCATATATGTGTATAGTGTTTCTTCAATTTTATATTTCAGAAGCAAACTAAAAAATTATAAAAAAAACACAGTTTAATACCAATCAATTCACATATTAATACAGTCAATTCATAATACAATAAATTCACATGTTAATATAGTCAGCTCATAGTTTAAATAGAAAATTCACAGCTTAATGCAGTCAATTCATTGTTTAAAACACACAAATAACAACTTAATACAAGAAATTCACAGCTTAACGCAGTCGATCCACAATTTAAACCACAAAATAAACAACTTAATACAAAAAAAAAGTAGGCATTCAAAAGCATATTATCAACTTAATAATTTTAATATAGTTAATTCATAGTTTAATACAATTAATTCATAGTTAAATATACAAAACTCACAGCTTAATATAGTCAATTTACAGTTTAAACAAGAAATTCACAGCTTAATGCATTCAATTCACAGTTTTAAACACAAATATCACAACTAAATACACAAACTTCATAGTTTAATACACAAGAAGTATTCACAACTAAATTCACATCTTAATAATTTACCAAATTTCATTGAGCCATTTCATCCAACACCTTGTGTGCATCTTTTTTTCAGAACTTCCTTTTGTAAAAACCATCAATGTAAACACCATACACACACACCAGATCTAACCTGAAAAAAGCACAAACACATCGGATCTGATGTCAATTTGGTGGTGTTTTGACCAGAGATAAGAGAGACATAGACGAAAATGAGTTAAGATGAGAAGAAGTTGGCACATAACAGATCTGGTATAAATCCGACAAACATTTCGCCGATTATGGAACAAATCAAAGAAAAAAAATAAGTTCATGAATTATGGAACAAAACGAGTTCAAGATTAGCACCTGTAGGTTGAGATGATGACTGCGATTTGTGATTTTTGATGCTCCGACAACGACACCAACGGTGAGGGGACAGATCTGATGTAGATCCAATGACGAAATGATGAAATAGAAAGAAAAAACTTTGTATAATACCACCAAATTCTCAAATCTACATCAGATCTGACCTGATCTGGTGTAAATAAAGATAAAGGCAGTCTCCAGTGGTTGTTTGAATACAGAAGTAGATCTGGAGGTGGTCGGACATCTGGAGGCGACAAAGAGCTTCATACTCCGTCAGATCTGTTATTCCGGCGAAACGGATCGAAGAGTTTTTCTCGTGCTTCATCAGATATGAAACGTTGGAGATCTGGAGAAGAAGCATATTCAGACTCCGAAATAGAGTGTAGTGTTTTCTAGGTGTTCCAGCAAAGCAAAGCGGCTGATGGAAGGCGACCGTCGGCGCTGGTGAGATAGATGACGGTGGAAAGAGGCGGCGCTCGGTGGTTATAGCAGATCTGAAGTCAGGGGTTCTACATCTGAAGGCGAATGCTCCATATCTGAAAGTGAATTCTTCAGATCCGAAGGCGGCGACTCCAAATCTGAAGATCGTTGTATGTTGGCAACGACGACGATGCCGACGGTCGTGTCGGCGATGGTGGTGGTGTCGGTAGCAGTAGGAGGTAAGACACACACACAGAGAGAGAGAGAGAGAGAGGGAGAGAGAGATATGAGAGAAAAGTTGTCTTGTGAGATACGATTAATTAAACATGTCTGATGATTTAAGTTATAAACATACATTTGACAAAAGTACCCTTTTAGGCTTAATAAACATATATTTGAGAAATCGTATTATTTGTAAGATAAAAAGAGTGGTTTTTAGGGTTCTTAACTTTTAATGGTTATCATTTGATATATATATATATATATATATATATATATATATATATATATATATATATATTATATATATATATATATATATATATATATATAGAGAGAGAGAGAGAGAGAGAGTCCGGTTCCTGTGATGACTCATTTTAAAGTGAGGACACCTTAAAAAAATTGAAAAAAATAAAAAAAAATACAAATCATAAAATCGAGCATAGATCTATGTCCGGGAGAAAAAAAAATTAGAAATTTTTTTTGCATCATTAATATTGATCCATGGTTCAATTTTAATTTTTTATTTTGCATCATTAAGATCCATGATTCAATTTTAAAGATCCAAATTTTTTTTTCTCTCAGACATAGATCTATGCTCGATTTTATGATTTGTATTTTTTTTAGATTTTTTTTTTCAATTTTTTTAAGGTGTCCTCACCCGATCGTGTGTGTGTGTGTGTGTGTATATATATATATATATATATATATATATATATATATATATATATATATATATATATATATATAAAGAAAGTTAGGTTAAAATGTTTTCAGCAACTATTGTATGCATCTACGGATCAATTTGAATTTAAGAAAAAATAAATCATTAATAATAAATATAAGGGTATAATAGTAATCTATACTATAATTAATTATGGTAAATTGATAAAATCAAATAATATCCCCCTTTAAATTAGGTTATTAGTTTTAAAACCTAAAACACCAACACCCTTTCCCTGTATTTCTCTAAAAACGATCGTCCATTACCATCATCATCTTGGCTGCCGACCACCAACGTCATCATCTCCATCACCGACTATTCGTGCTGTGATCTCCGTCTTCAACATCGAAAAACGCTCCTACATCCCTCATCATCATCATCATCTCGTGCTGCGATCTCCATCTTCAACTCCTCCTTCCCAATCGCCGACCACCATTGCCACCTAATACCACCGCCAACTACTACTTTCTTCCACGATAACCAGGTTCAGTTTTCAGAGTCGTCTTCAAGCTATCAGATACGATTCTCCATTGGTTTGATTTCTCTTTTATCTTTGTTTGAAATTAATTGGATTTCATTGATTGAAAAAAAAAACTGTTAAATATCTACAAATTCATTTTTTCTTCTGATACAAAAAAATCCAAATATCTACCAATTCATTTTTTGCACTCAAATTTTCTTTCTACTAGTTGTGATTTTGGAAGTGAGTCAAGAATCAAGAATCAACTTTTTCTGTTATCAATGTTTTTGAATGTTGCTTGTACTGTTGCGTGTTTTGAATGTTGATAATAAAACATGCCTTCCAAGTGTTTGATATAATGTCAAAAAGAGAAAGTTTTTGTGTAAAAGAGGCAAGTTTGATATGTTGGACTTATTGGGAAGATTCTGTCAGAATATGTTAAGTATATTTGTTTAACTGGTAATGCATTCTAGCAGAATTACGAGTAATGCATGTTATTAGAATAGCGATAGTATATTCTAGCAGAATAACTAGTAATACATGTTATTAGAATAAATTACAATTGTTTAATGTCTACTACATTCTTTCAGAATTTATAGTTTTTATTCTTTTAGAATGCTCCGAATTTTTTAATATTTGAAACTTGATTATGTTTTTTTTTTTTTTTTTGTGGATTTAGGTTTTGAAGAGATTGGCATTGATGTGGAAAAGGAGAAAAAACATGGAGAACTACAGTGTATTCTTGCAAAATATATTATGCTAAAATGTATAAAGTGGTTCTTAACAATAATATTCTTTCGGAATAGATTAGTGTTTTTGTTAGATTTTGATGTTTTTTTTTTTCTTTTTTAACCATTTTTAGTTTTAATCTTTAAGAATAAATGTAAACCTTAAACCATTATTAGTCATAATTTTTTAGAATGAATGTAATAATTGGTTATAGTCTTATTCTTTACGGATGAATGTAAATAGTGATTCTTAAAGAATAAAATACGTAATCTTTAGAAAATGTTATTCTTGATAATATGTTGTATAATTCTTTAAACATGTTTAATATAAAAAGTATCTTGAATGAAACCATATTCTGCAAGAATAAAACCGCAAATATATTTACTAGTTTATTGTTGGCTTTTTGTCATTCTGACATAATAAAATCGGTTATTATTAAATATAATATTAAAATTTAATTAGAATTAATTTAAAAAATTCAGATTTTTTAAAAATAAGGGAATTAATGATCCCTTAAAATCCGAAATTTCTTTTTTTAAAATATGTTAATTGACCAAAATACCCTTTTGCTGAAATTTATGTGATTATATGATACATGCTACCCTATTGTAATATCATAGACCCTCAGATGATGACTGTTGATTCTATTCATTCAGTGGTCCAGATCTGTGCATTCTGACACACAATAGTTACTAAAAACAAAATAACCTAACCCTATATATATATATATATATATATATATATATATATATATATATATATATATATATATATATATATATATATATATATATATATATATATATATATATATATATATATATATATAGTCTTCTAATCCCTGTATATTTTCTCATCCAAGGAAACAGTTAATTACTTCTTGGAGAATTTAGTGAAATTTATTTAAAATTTTACTGCCTTGCATGTGTTTTAGATAATGGAAGGATACGCAAAGAGAGTACATGATCCTTATTTCCAGCCTCCGTTGCAGTCTGCAATAGTTTCTGGAGTTTCTCTTGGTAGCTGTGTGTGGGTGCCAGGGCCGGTCATTGTTGGAGCTGGACCTTCTGGGCTTGCTGCTGCGGCTTGTCTCAAGAACCAAGGTATTCCGGTCTTGATTCTTGAAAAGACTAATTGTATAGCGTCTTTGTGGCAAATCAAGACGTATGATCGTTTATGTCTTCATCTTCCCAAACAATTTTGTCAACTCCCGTTTATGCCTTTTCCTAAAGATTACCCGAACTACCCTACTAAGCAACAGTTCTTAGCTTACCTTGAAGCGTATGCCAAAAACTTTGATTTGAATCCTGTTTTCAACACCATGGTAGTGAAGGCCGAATATGATGGTGTGTTTGGGTTCTGGAGGGTGCAAACAAAGGTGACTGAGTATGTTTCTCGATGGGTTATTGTAGCTACTGGAGAGAATGCCGAGGAAGTTGTGCCTAAAATTGAAGGGATGAATGAGTTCATTGGGCCAATTCTACATACAAGTTCGTACAAAAGTGGTGATTGCTTTGAAAATAAGAATGTTCTTGTAGTTGGGTGTGGGAATTCAGGCATGGAGGTCTGCTTGGATCTATGCAACTACAATGCTTGTCCATCAGTTGTGGTTAGAGGATCTGTACGTACTTTAATTATCTCTCTACTACAATACTACTCATCCTCATACATTATGTCTGCATGAAGAACAGTGACCATATTTCTTTCTTTCTATTTTCACGATAAAATATAATTATATGATTACTTTTATCATATTACCAGGAAGATGGATCAAAATATTTATGAAAATATAAATTTCCCTTCACTTAAAGTTTTCTTGAATATATAAATTGTAGTAGTAAAATTCCAATGATTTACATTTTGGTGAATATTGATAAATAATAGTAGTCAGATATTTCTTTCGTTGTAGTTTATGGATGGATTAATGTTAAAAGTAATCAGATATTATAAAGTCTCGGTTCTCTATTTATAGAATCTAACTATAAATGTGTTTAAAATCGCTTTCAACTTTCTTGGACTGCGTTTGCATGCGTATTACTGCTTGCGTTTGAGATTCTCCCTTTTCTTGAAATAATTCACTGTTAAAAAGATTCTAAACTGCAAATATGAAATATCTCCACCTTCAAACGGCTTTTGTGACCCATTTTCCGTCTGGAAGCCACTTTAAAATTGTGTGATGAACCTTTCCAGTTGCATGTGTTACCACAAGAGATGCTTGGGAGATCAACTTTTGGACTGTCGATGTGGCTGCTCAAGTGGTTCCCAGTTCGAGTAGTAGACAGGCTCTTGCTTTTTGCATCACATTTCATGATTGGAGACACCGATAGACATGGACTGAATAGACCAAAGCTCGGTCCCCTTGAGCTAAAGAACGTCTCCGGAAAGACTCCAGTATTGGATGTGGGCACACTTGCAAAGATAAGAAGTGGGGACATCAAGGTTCGAATCCATTAATTCTTTCTTTCTTTTCTGTTATTAATTAAAAAAACTGGCCTTTCAAGACCCCAACTATAAGTTTGCTATAACTACACCTCTATGAAAGAGAGAATTAGTCATTTGGGGCACGTAATTCTGTCATTCACTGAACAACAAAAAATCTTGATGTAGGTTTATCCAGGAATAAAGAGACTAGCACGCAATAATGTGGAGTTTGTAGATGGAAGAATAGAGAAATTCGATGCCATCATTTTAGCCACAGGTTACAGAAGTAATGTGACTACTTGGTTAAAGGTATGCTATAAAACCAACTTTAATATATATATATATATACCTACACCAAATTTATGCTTACTAATTAATATTATCTAAACCACCATATATAAAAGCTGGTCTAGCGCTAGTGGATCACTTGGAAATTAAGCACTTTAAATTAAATTTCCTCATTTTCGGGTTCAATGTAATTGGATGGCCTACCGTTTAAAAAAACTAGCATAATATAATCTTCCATGCTAAACATTTCCATTTCTGTATGATTTTTTATTTGTAGGACACCAATTCATTCTTCGAAAAAGATGGGTTCCCCACGAAACCATTCCCAGAAGGCTGGAAAGGGGAGTGTGGATTATACGCAGTTGGGTTCACAAAACGTGGCTTACTGGGTACATCCATGGACGCTGCTAAGATTGCGGAAGACATTGCGTGCCAATGGAATACAGACAAGAAGCATTTAAAATCGTTACGCCATCAACCACCGAAGCTATCCGTTTATATAGACTCATAAAATAACTTATTTCATGTGGGCTATGATGAGTGTTAGATTCATTAGAGATGTTTAGTTAATTAGGGGTTGTTTAATTTGTAATTGTTGTACATATAATGTTATCTGTACAGTAGGTATAATTTATAATTGTTGTGATTTGTGAATATAATATATAAGGGGAATTGTACTTGGGTATAAAAATAGAAATGAATTTTAAATGAAAATTGAACTAATATGAATTGACGGATGAGAAATCTCGGTACTAACTGTCTTAGAGTGCTGTAGAAATTCCAAAAGATGAAAAGGTGGAGCTTTCGAATCTTAACCATGCCAATATGTCATGTATCTTTCGCACCTATGACTTCTTGTACCGAAATTAACGATATGATAATGCAAACTATCATTCGTATGACTTCTTCCTTTTGCTCGACTAATCATTATCAGACAACAATTCAAAGAGATAGAACGAGTACAAATCCTTCGGTTCGGGACCATCTTACTTCGTCATCTTCGTCCCAATGAAAGTGCCACCACAGAGCGTTAAGACGACTACAATATTCATAATATTTTCTGGTCAGGCTCCCAAAGAAAAAAAAAGCTCAAATTCGAATTTTTGAATAAGTGCCAATAATTGTTGAAAGAGATTAAATCTTCACATGAGTTGGAATTTCTTGCTTCCTTAATGAAGTTATTTAAAACAGAAAGGAAAAGGTCACCAAAAGCCCCAACATTGTACCATGGTACTCTTAATGTTTCTTTGTGATCAACAATTCACTTTTGGCCATTTTTGACGGCCAAATACTGTCCATAATTCCCAAGTTTTGTCTGTCAGTTTGTATCTTCTAGATTGTAAGGTATGTTTTATTAAATATGCTAACCCTCTTTTCTTGAGGTGTTGATTTTAAAAATACCCTTGAATCACTTATAGGTGAATAAATACAACCCGTATAGACATGGAAGGTGATGTAGAATGGAAGCCCATTAGATATATTTTAGCAGACGATTGAGACACAACACTAATAGAAAATGATTTCATTTCTACATTGGGACTGAAATTTTCATCAATAATTCGCCTGAAACCAAGGTTCTTAAGATCATAATATCATACATGGTCGTTTCTCATCCAAGAAGACATTTATATACAGAGTGCAAATTTCTTGAGGAAAGAATTTTTTTGAAAGAAATATAGTGCGAGTTTCATCGAACTTGTATAAATTCAAGAACAAGCAACTATCGCATAGTTGAAAGAAAAAAAGTCAGCATAAGATTTTGGTGAGACGCGATAATCCATCAAGAGCTAAAGAAATATGGTCTTGTCGTTACTAATAACATTGTCAATGACATTAGCTTAAATGTGAACCAACCAGCTACTAGAAAGCTATTTCACAACCAAAATTATAAGGGGCAGCTTAAACCTATTAAGGAAATCCACAGTACATTGAATTCTATAAAGTTTAATAGATTGCAACATAGTCATTCCATACTCTATACAACTCAATCAACTTTTGCCTATAATGCATTGAACTCTACAAAGTTCAATGGAATATTACCGAAACTAGTTCATAATATTTATTTAAAAATTGAAAACTTTTCTTTTTTCTCCTTTAAGAGTTTAATGGCCACTGAACTCGAAATTCATTAAATGTCAATATCCCATCTCACAATGATAGAGTTTAATCCATTGAATTACAACTAAACTTGTCACCTGATTTAACTTTCCCGATGAACTCACCATTATGAATGCTCTAATTATGAGATTCAATTTACCTACAATTACCAAGTAATGGGATTGATTTATACACCCAAAATAGTAACACTATCTGGTGTAAATGGCTTCCAACTAGAAAACAAACATCTATGGAAAGCATATAGTTATAGGACATGATTGTAGCCGCATAATTTTAACATACTCTATTATGATATATTCGTCATATTTTTATTCGTTCCCTAGTGGGCGGTTATCGCAGGCGTATCATACGTGTTATGGTGGTGAACACCATTGCTAGTGGTTCCAGGTCGACGTTATGTTGAAGGCTCTTCACCCAGCTCACACTCAAACACACCACATTCTCTCTATCTCGCTCTTCTTCTCTTCTTTTTCTTCTTCTTCTTCTTCTCTCTCTCTCTCTCTCTCTCTCACCCCCGGCTGGCGGCGGAAATGTCACGTATGTGGCTTACTCTTGGATCATAGTTCTCTAACTTACATTGAATAGTACCAAAATAACGATATAAATAGAATACATACTTCTATTAATACTGAATGAAGATTACATTGTTTTTTTTACACTAGTACATCATTACATAATAATCAAAAGTACTAAACATGCCTTAACATATAGGAAGTAAAACATAAATAGTGGAATTGTGATTTATAACAAAGATCATATAAGTAACCATGTGTGTGTGTGTATGTGTGACATTCATGTTTCTTACGTTCCTGAGAATGCATGCGTTATGAAAATACATCAACATAAAGTTGGTGAGTTCACATGTTTTGACTATATGTACTTTTATAACAGTAACACCTCAAATTTCAAACCAAAATTTTCATTTTTAATTCACCCAAAATATTGTTCATAAAACCGAACCATCAGAAAATCACAAGTGTCAAGTACAAATCATCACTACAAATATTAGAGTGCCACATAAAGTCCAGTAACAAAATCTCCCAGCGAGTGTGTACAATCAGACCTTCGCTTTCCCATGATCCTCAGAAGTACCTGAAAAACATATAATCAACAAGTGTAAGAATGAAGTTTAGTGAGTTCCCCAAGATATCTCATAAAACACAACACATATACAACTATAGGTTATCAACAACCTTGGAGACTACACGAAGTCTCAGTGGGAAAACAACATGCCATGTGGGTTATCAGCAACCCTAGAGACTACCCGAAGTCTCAGTAACACATAAACAACATAACATAATAATAATAGTTAGACCCAGCTGATCATCACAGATATAACTATTCTACCAGGTAAGAATAAGTGAGGAGACTCACCTGATACTGATGACAGATAAATCTCACACATGAACTGCAGGAACTAGACTCTGCCTAATAAACACAATAAGTAACCCTAATCAATTAGGATCATTAACCCGACTCACAAGTCCAAATCCCACAACTATGCTCCTTAAGGGAAAAAGACCATTTTGCCTCATCCATGGTCCAAAACCCTAGATCTTTGACCAGAAGTCAAAAGTCAGCAAAATGCAACCATTCCTGTATGTTGGGCGTAGGCTCCCTACGCGCTGCGTACTCAATAAAACAACGAGAGTCGGGATCAAGTCTGTCTACGTTGGGTGTAGCCAAAAGTACGATGAGCATACGCTCTCTGATCCCAAAAGTTAATCCACAACATCTTAAACACTAAGACATACAACCCAAACATCGATCTGGCCTTAATAGAATGTCGTAATGAATAAAGTCCATAAGTTTAAGCCTTTGCATGGCTGAAATAAGCTTAAACCTCAAAAACCTAACTTAAACAATACTCAAAACCACCACACTCTTGCATGGAAAGAACGAGACCTTCAAGCAAGCATTTTTATGATTCTATATGACCTAAAACACATGAAAGGACAACTAATACGCTCTTGAGTACACCATACTCACAAAGATCCAAGCTTGGGACAAGAAGTTCTTAAATAACCACTTAAATAGATCTTGAAGAAAACACACCAGGGTATAAACTTTATACCTTAAGAAGATGCACAAGGTGCGGTAGTTTTTGGATCCACAAGTTTGCAAGCAACATCACCTTCTTCAATAGCCTTCTTCTTCAACAAGAAAGCACCAAAATCACTAAAAAGCTTCAAAATCTTCACACACAAGGATGAGACTCAAAATTAGGGTTTGGAACGAGTGGAGTCTGTCTCTAGAAGGTCTAAGGGAGGTATAATGTTGATTAAATAGGGAGCAAACCCATAAATTTAGGGTTTAGGGTCTGAGCTAATAATCCCTACGTACCACATGTACGCCCAACATACTAGGATGAGTCCAGCGGTTCCAAGGCTTGATCATGTACGCAGCGCGTACCTCACATACCCCCAGTATACGGGCTGAAATGCAAAGATTTAGACACAAAGGACCAATAATGAAAAATACCTGAAAATCGGATGTCACAATAACAAAAGTGTATTTATATAGTATATAGTTACTTTCCAGCTTATAAAAATATACCTTTTATAACCTAAAAGTGTGTAATTTCAATGTATAAATATTTATCGAACATATAGAAAAATATACTTTTTACAACCAAAAAGTATGGAATTTGAGGATAAATGTATTACCCTATTTATATGTAATCGTATTTGTAATCCAAAATAGTATGCATGTTGTATATGAATGTTTACATATTGAAATATAAGTTCTATAATAGAAACGTTTGTGTAATTCGTTTATAAGTGTATATAATACTTGTACAAAAATACAGATACTTATAAACCATTTAAAATATGTGTTCGAGCTACATATAATTCTATTTCATCTTATATGAGTGTTTTTAGAGTGTGGTCAGTGTTTATCATGAGACTATAATTGACCTATATGACCCGGTTCTGCCTCTGCTTGGCACTACAAGGGGAATGCCAAAACAAATACTCCTGACGTGTCATCGACGTCGTGAACAACAAAAAGTGATAGCTATCACCTGTTATGACTCGTCAGGCAAACGTTCTAGGTAGCAACCACGTGAGGGGGTGTCAACCCGTATAGATCTATACAAAACTTAATTTATCGGTCTTTCAATTAACGGTTATAGTACATAGGACTTTACTAAGTTTTTATTCTTAGTTTATGAATGATGAACTCATGTAAACTTCTCGATTTTCAACATTTCTAAAAATTAGTGAGTGTGTGTCTCTAAACATTAAATAATAAAGTAAGTTATGCCAAAAAGTTCAATAGTGTATAATAATTGTATAACGTTTCTAACAAAATCGGGTAGCATAATGATTGTAAATTAAGTAGAAACCAGGTTTTAACTAGTGTAAAACCAACAATTCCAATATGTATACA